ATCAAAGGAGCCTGTTGGAACATCTCCAAAAAAAAAGAGCTGGCAGATGTCAGAATACATGGGAGACAGTGGGGAATTCCTCGATTGAGGCTCTTAAGTCTTGATGGAGGAATCTGTTCTATTTTGTTCCGTTCAGCCCGCAGGTGGAATGAAAAGAAACAGAACAGTGTGTGGCCAGCAAAAATCTAATTCTACCAATGCATTCCTCTATGTTTGATAATGTCAGGTGTAAAATGCTGTGATTTTGAAATACTTACACTTGCAGAGCATTCACTTCCTGCTGTGAAAGGAAAAAATGACTTCAGTTTGCCAAAGCAATGCATACTGGGATTGCCTTGTCATCAGCAGAACATTGCTGGGAAATATCATCTGTAATCTTATGAGATCTCAGGGAAAGGTATTTTCCTCCCCTGAGATGATGTGCATGGTCACATGTGCCAGAAATCCAGGAAGTAATAGGAGAGCTAGTAATCTGCCCTTAGTAAACATGGCCACTGTCAGAAGACTGGGAAAGAAAAGAGAAATAAGGAATGCAAAGAATAAAAAGCCTGCAATTATCTAGATCTCTGCTTGTAGATTATCATTACTAAACATTTCTAAAAGGTGTATTTGTTGTTAATTTAAGGATATGGGTAAAGGTCCGCTTTAAGATTAATTTTTTTCCTATGAACCTCAGTTCCATCTAGTGGCGCATAATGTGGTAGTTTCCTAATTCACTACTGCCCATAAGAGTTAAAGAACATTGAATCAGAAGAAACATACATTAAGAACAAATAAAAGTAATTCACCGACACACACTTGAAGGATTTTTTAAGTATTGATATGTTTATTCAATACCCAATGTCACATACTGTCATTCGGTGCTAACGTTTCGGGACCGCACAGGGATCCTTCATCAGAGCGACAGTGACGATTAAGAACATTAGATTTTTTCCCCATTCTCACAACAGCAGCTTCATTCACATAGAACGAATGTACAGTACATGCAGTATCGCAATGCAATTTTTTTTTTATAAATAGACGCCTCAATGGTCTGTATGATGCCAGGTCTCTATGACCTGAAGGATGTCAAGAATCTATGTTAATTTGCAAATTCTTTGAAATTACGTCACAGCTGATATATAACAATTCATCAGCTATAAACTGAACATAACGTAAAACAATCATATATGCTAACGTAACAAAATTTTGCGTCTATATAGAATTTCTACTTATTCATCTAAATGGGGCTTTTTGATCCAGTTATCTCATTAAAGAAATGAATATGGTGTCTTTTCCCTAACCTTTTTGTCACCAGAGTTTATTTAAGCTTAAATGCCCAGATCAAGGTAAGCTTGACAATAACTCTATGACTAAACTGACTGACATCGGGTCTGAGAACTAGGAACACATACAGTTTGATATTTCAAGATTATCAACATTCTCATGGCAAGGGGCATTTCTCATATGGACTTTAAAAAGCCATACTGTAGTTAAAGTTATGATTTATTGCATAAGTAAAATAGATTGTATAATTCCCATTATAAAATGCCAGAGAAGACTTAGTCAATAATATATAATGGCATTTATAGGAAACAAAAAGGAAAGAAAGTCACAGGTAGTTTATTACAGCCTTCCCAAAAAGAAACTGGTTTTGAATGCCTTTTGAGGTTTTATGATAAAGTTTGGTGTATATAACAGGAATGAAGCGTCTAAGGCATGGGTGAGCAACTTCGGCCCTCCAGCTGTTGTGGAACTACAAATCTCATGAAGCATTGCATGACTGACAGTTACAGACATGACTTGCAGAGGCATGTTGGGATTTGTACTTAAAGCACAGCCGCAGGGCTGGAGTTGCCCTCCCATGGTTTAAGGGTAGCTTTATCCAAAGAGAAGGAGTGAAGAAAGAAAAAACGGGTAATAGAGGTAAAGATCAGAAGAAGAAAAAGATGGGGGTAACATAAAAGGTGTGGTAGCTATAAAAAGGTCAAAACACGTTACCCATCAATATGTGATTATGACAAATGTGAGATAATGGGGGGCCATAACAAGGGGCATTCCCTTCCAGAGTGGATCAGAGTTGATGTTCTGTAACGTTAACTCCTTTACAGAAGCAATTTATTTATTCTTATGCTAAATTCCAATTGAATAGAATATGAAATGTGTCACATACTGCAAAACAGGCCGTTTCTCCTGGTTTAATGAGCTGGATGTGTCCGGATACCGCATTTTCACTGACTCCAGATTCCATCCAGATTTGTTCCAATTCATTGCATGCCTTCATGGAAGAAAGGCAGTATATTACAACTTGCAGTAGGCAATTAATGAATATTGTATTATCTTATATTATTATTTCTTTTATGTAGAGAAAAGAACAAAGTACAATATGAAGAACATTACACACAGATCCTTATACATGGTCTAAGAAAAAAAAAAAAAAAAAAAGCGGGGGTTTTTGGCGGTCTGTGTTCCTGTGGGAATTTGTCCCTCACTTCCTCTCCTCGGGACCGTGTTTTTAGCAACAAAGGAAGTGAGGAAAAGTTTCCCTAATGGTGCTGCAGATAACAGTTAATACTGACTAAAGTTCTAACCCTTCCTCACACTGCCCAAACTATGGCTTGACATACCTTTAGTAATACTGCCAGTAAGAACGGACGCCTTTTTTTTAAAGAAGAAGAAGGTTCACTTTGTCATCTGTCTGATTGTATCATACGAAACCCTAGTCCATATACTCTGGGAAACTGTAGGAATGAGGACAGGTAATCTGCATCTACACCAGCACTTGATTATAGAGGAGTCTGTAGTTCTCACAGACAGGTCCTTGGGCTTGCTGCCCATTTGGCCATTGCTTAGAACAGAGATTTCAGGATAATTAAAGTGATATGGTAAGGAAAGCCCTAATACTCAGTTTCCATTCACACATCAGCTGAGCATTGTTGGTCATTTCTCAGAGTCTTTTTTTGAGTGTTTGTACAGGCATTTGGGCATGTATGTTTGAACTCTTCAGGCTTGAGTGTTTTTTAAAATTATTTTTAGCTAATGGAAAGCTAGCTACTATGTGCATTTTTCACACACTCCCATTAAATTCTATTGGGGCCAAAGCACGTAACTCTGCCTCAAAAGAAGACCATTTATTTTTTCGAGCAATGAGCTTCAATGCTCGTGTGTGAACAGGCACCACTGAATCCAATGGAAATTCTAGTGTCAAGCATTGAAGTGCTTTAGGTCCTCAAATGTTCTGAGGAGATCAGATAAAGGTATCCGCTATGCTCGTAGTTTTCCTATTATAAAGGATATTGTAGTAGTAAAATGCATTGACGCATGTACAAATGTAAAGCAGCAGTTGCATTAAAATATGCTTCTCTGTTTATGAGGAGATGGAAGTAGTTCTTACAGTATTAATTGCCATGCGTGCTTCAAAGTTGTCGACACAGCTCAGTACCAGGTCTACTGGTTGCCCTTCTTTTAATCCACCTTTGCTAAATGAACACAAAACAAACATGAATTAAAAACAAACATGAATTAAATACCAACAGTAATACGGAAGGGTGCATCATTTGTATCTCCAGTTACAAGCTAAGATTATCACTGCCTAAACACATTAAGGTCAAAATACAGCACAATGCCTGGTCCAAAAAAAAAGTAACGCGCTCTAATATTTCATTGAGTAGCCTTTAGCTTTGATTACGGCACGCATTCGCTGTGGCATAGCTTAGATAAACCTATGCAATGTCACAACATTTATATCCATCCAAAGTTGCATTCATTTTTCTCCAAGATCTTGTAGTGATGATGGGACAGTTGGTCCACTGCAGAAAGTCTTCTCCAGCACTTCAAAAAGATTCTCAATGGGGTTAATGTCTGGACTCTGTGGTGGCCGATCCATGTGTGAAAATGATGTCTCGTGCTCCCTGAACCACTCATTCACAATCTGAGCCCCATTAATCCTGGCATTGTCATCTTGAAACATGGCTGTGTCATCAGGGAAGAAAAAAAATCAATTGATGGAAAAACCTGGTTTTCAGCATATCCAGGAAGGCAGCTGACCTAATTTTTTAGGGACATAACATTGCTAAACCTAGACCTATTATCAAATGGAAGGCTCTTACCTATCTGCTTAGCTATATCCAGGTGCTGACTTTTTTTTGGGCTTGGCAGTATAAATCCGTATTGGCTTGCACAGAAATAATGTATGCCTCTTGAAGAACCAATACAGAGAGTAAGTATACGTTTTGTTCTCTAAGCAAAAAATAGAGCAAATGTCATGAAATGTTCACTTAAAAGAACCGGTCTAAGGCAAGATACCTCAATGTGTGCTCCGCCGCTTCCACTTTCATTTTGTCCGTACATAATGTTGCTGAACCTAGACCTGACCAACTAAAGCAACTCCAGACCTTAAGGCTCTGTTCACACCTAGGCGTATGGAATATGCGCGCGTGACGCGTGTTTTTACCGCGATTCGTGGTAAAATAAACGCGTGACAAACGCGCGTTTCTGAGGGCTACTTGGCTGTATCCCAATGGAAACGCGCAACAAAAACGCCGCAAAGAAGCTCATGTACCTTTTCAGGCGTAGGCCGTTTTGTAGCGCGTTCAGACGGGCTGAAATACGCCAAGGTGGGAACCATACCCATAGAAAACAATGGGATTTTCATGTTTGAGCGTTTTGTAGAGCGTTCGTAGAGCGTTGAACGCGCTACATAACGCATAGGTGTGAATCAGGCCTAAGGTCTCGTTCACACCCAGGCGTATTGCATATGCACGTCTGTCGCGCGTTTTTTACCGCGATTCGCGTTTCCGAAGGCTACTTGGCTGTATCCCAATGGAAACGCGCAACAAAACGGCCCAAAGATGTATAAATATAGCTGTAAATATCTCTGCTGGTTCAAAAAAATATATATACAAAAAGAAGTGCTGAGGAATCCAAAGTCAATTCAATGTAACCATCATCAAACATATGTTCTTGTACATTGGCACAAGAGCAATGTACCGATATGTGTATAATTGAAGGCCCATCAATGAGGCAAGTCACAGGGAATGTAATTCACGCATGTACTTTTATGACTGCTGTAAACATAAATCCAGTTGCCTGATACGGGCATCCACACACTTCGCCCCTCTGCCTTTCTGAATAACCTGAAATCTGTCAATTTCTGCAAAGGATGAAAAAGTCCATTACCTTATTCTGTCCATGAAATGCTGGAAATTGTCCATAGTTGTTATATTGTAGTTGTGTACTTCAAACTGGACGTCCGGGTTAATGTTCCTACAAAGGAGTAAACATTTGCACTTGTTTAGCACTAAATAACGAAATGATGCAAATCACATATTATATCACTTATTTGTTGCTGCAGAAACTTGTCCATTGACGATGCAAAATATGAAATCCCATCAAGGTGATAATCTAGAAGAGTCTTTCTCAATATGTTTACCACGGGGAAACCCTTGTAAAAATGTCAGGTCTCTGGGAACCTCCACTAAAAATGATTATATTTACAGCTCATGGTACATTTTTGTTATCAGTAGGTTGTAGAGAGCATAATATAAAGGAATAAAGAATGCAATTACTTAACCCCACCCCCCGCTTTATATGACAAAATTATCTTCAGTAATAATCATGAAATCAAACAAATAACAAAATTATTATATGAATCTGCGGATTTCTGCAGCAAAACCCCAAACTGGGCCTTTACATATGCGGCCAATGTGCCCATTCAAGTGGCTATCTGCATGTAATTGTACTGCGGATCAGGTTATATGATTCTGAGCCGCAGGTAATTGTTCCATATACGATTAAATATGGACAGCAGCAGACAGCCACGGATGCATCTGTACAGACCCGCCTGGAATTCCTGCCAGAAGAATCTGCAGGTTCTTGCTGCAGGAATCCCCAAACGCACATAAAGGCCTTGTGTGCATATAGCCTAAGAGTCTTATGCAGCTTTAAACTAATCTCCCATCTGATAATTGTGAAATACACTGCCAGGCCAAAAAAGTCACACACTCTTAATATTTCGTTGGACCACCTTTAGCTTTGATTAAGGCATGCATTCGTCATGGCGTCATTTCGATAAGCTTATGCAATGTCACAAAAGAGTTGTCCATCCAGAGTTGCATTAATTTTTCTCCAAGATCTTGTAGTGATGAATGTATGTATGTATGTATGTATGTATGTATGTAGTGATGAGTGAGTCGAGCCACTGCGTACAGTCTTCTCCAGCACATCCCAAAGTTTCACAATGGGGTTAAGGTCTTGACTCTGTGGTGGCCAATCCACGTGTGGAAATTATGTCTAATGCTCCCTGAACCACTCTTTCACAATTTGAGCCCAATGAATCCTGACATTGTCATCTTAGAATATGCCTAATGTGCCATCAGGGAAGAAATAATCCATTGATGGAAAAACCTGGTTTTCAGTATATTCAGGTAGGTGCCTGACATTTTTTAGGGACATAACATTGCTAAACCTATTATCACATGGAAGGCTCTGACCTCTCTGCTTAGCTAAATCCAGGTGGTAACTTTTGTTTTTGGGTAGGCAGTGTATATCAGTATTGGCTTGCACAGATATAGTGTATGTCACTTAAAGAACCAATACAGAGAGTAAGTATAAGTTATGTCCTATAGGCAAAACAGAGTAAATGTCATAAAATGTTCACTTAAAAGAACCGATCTTAGGTAAGATACCTCAATGTGTGCTCCGCCGCTTCCACCTTGCTGAGGCCTGCCTGGTGTGGCTGGAAAAAGAGCCTGTTCATATTTGCCAGCTCTACCTTATCATAATCAAACAGTAGCAGCTGGAATAATATTCAGAATAAAGAAGATGGTGAGAATGTTAACACCAAGGTAAAATGAACATATGCCATGAACATATAAACATATGCCATAACATTAATTTTATTAAACAAGGGCCAGTCACATGATTGAAAATAACGATTGTTACGGTGAATAACACAAGCTCTAGAACAGGTTATATATATCTGGTGCACAGTTTATTCTAACTCCAGACAAAATGACTTTGGTGCCCTGCTTCAGATTAACATTTTTCTCATTGCTGTTTTTTTCCATTGTCTCTAAAATAAGGGGTCTATTTAAAAATAATTTGCAGATCCATTTGCCCTGCAAATCTCTATGGACATTGTTCTGTGCAAACAGAGGCAACAAATGAACATCCTTAGCATATTAATATAATGTAATTCTGCATTATGGCCACTAGATGATGCTGAGGAGCATAGGAAATACTTATCTCCTATGCTCATCAGCGCCTCCTAGTGGCCATAATGTGGGAATACATTACATTCAACTGGAAAAGAAAATATGATAAAGAACGCTCATTGTTGCCTCTATTCACATAGAATGAACATTCACAGAGATTCACAGGATGAATGGCTTTGTGAATGGTTATAAATAGAACCCCAAGTGTCTGCTTAGCTCTCTCCAGGTTCTTGCTCCTGGATGCTGTGATCTCTCTGCTGCAGATTCCAACAGACAAGAGACAATGGTGCACACAAACAAAACTGGCTATCCTGGCATCCTTTCAGTATAGGTTTAAGGGCATCTCCTTCAGAAGAAGACAGGGACACATACTACATCCAGTTCATGCTTCAAGACTTGTACACATTGACTGCAGCAATCCTGTGTTCCTCCTCCATGGGCAATGCACTGAACACATACAGAACACAGCTCAGAACTGAGTCACAATCAGACACCTTGCCTAAACGTATATATTAGTACTCACTGATATCACTGCACAGCTGAGATCTTAAATCTCTGATAGGGACAACACTAAAGGGCAGAAGCCCCAGCAAACATGGCAGCTGCGGCTTCCGTCTCTACTAGGCCGCAAAGCCTTGGCCTAAATAACCAGACAGCACGACTGCATGAGGCTATTGAGTAGCGATATAAGGACCCTGGCCATATTAATGTGAGTCCAGACCTAGCTAGGCTGTCAAGGCTTGGGGGATCCCTGCCGCCATTAGGAACCTCCAGAGTCTAATACACACGGCTGCATCACGAAGAGCCCGAGGTGGAAGGTCTTCCCCAAGTGCCAGCAGAAGCTGTCAAAGTCACTGCGCTATACAACGACAAGACTCACACACCAAGACACCTTGGCAATCCTGCATAAGGTATAACCACACACAGGGGAGCAGGGGAAAAAGGGGGTTATTTACATTTACTGCAACTTGAAAGGGGTACCTTCCCCAGACAGGACGGCCCCCACCGCAGCCGGAGCGCCATCCGCTTAGGAACACTGTGACTAATCAGCCCAGGGCCTACTGGTCATATGTTCCCCCTATTGTTAGAGATTGAAGATCTGCACTGTGTCCTTCAATGAACTGAAGAGAAATAGGTGGTATCCCAACTTGGCTGCAAAAGTGGAAGTACACTTTAAATTCCTAAGCCTTTGTATTGGATGAGAACAGTAACCTATTCAATACAGAAAACACTCTACAATGGAAGTGGATATGCCAGATATAGGAAAACAACACACAGATTAAAAGTATCACAGATGATAAAACATGTATGTCTTTTCACCTTTTGTCATCTAAAATGTTCTGTGGGAAATCACTTTAATCATTAATTAGTAAAACTGAATATTAAACATAGAAAATGTTAAATCAAATCGGCATTACCTTACCAATGCCACATCTTGTTAGCATTTCTGCAGTGACACTGCCAACTCCACCAACACCGACTACGGCCACCGTGAAAGTGCGAATTTTCTAGGATGGAAATGGACGATATTAATAAAATCAAATTATTGATATCACCTTAAATAAATGTGGGAATCAGATAGGGCTGCAACAACTAATCGACATAATCGATTATTGAAAAAGTTGTCAACTTTTTCAATCATCGATTAATCGGCTTCCAATTAGTTGGCCCTGTTCACAGCTCCACACACGCTGCGCGCCGCACCTCCTCCCTACCTCATGCTCGCTGCTGCCAGACCGGGCCGCATCCACGATCCACGCGCTGCACCTTCTCACTGCCTGCCCACATCCACGATCGGCACAGGGACCCGGGGAGAAGTAAGGAGGGGCAGGTGTGGTGGGATAACAGCCGCCGATAGACAGGACCGATCTCAGAAGCAAGTTGCTGGAAGACTGCTCAGGTAAGCCTGCACTTTCCCCCACATGGTGCTCTATAATGTATTGCTGGGATTTGTATTCCTCTATAGCTGATGGTACATTGTGCTGTATATTATACCATCAGCTATAGAGGACTACAAATACTAGCAATACATCATACACTGTATGTATAATGTATTGCTGGGATTTGTTGTATTTCAATATAGCTGGTGGTTTTCTGCATTGCGCTGTATAGAGGACTACAAATCCCAGCAATAATACATTATACAGCGCAATGCGGAATACCACCAGCTATGGAGGACTACAAAACCCAGCAATAATACATTATACAGTGGTGCAATGCCAAATACCACTAGTTATAGAAAACCCAGCAATAGTATACCAGGACTAGATTACCACCAGCTATAATGTACAATTGCTGGGTTTTGTAGTCCTCTATAGCCGGTGCCATTCTGCATTCATTGCTGTATAATTTTATACTTTTAATTTCACTATATTGTACACCACACTTTCACCGCTCCAACCTTGCTCCTGTGATGGACTGCAATCTCAATACAAACTAGTAGTCCCATCACTAGAGCCATTTAAATTTTTTTATTTTATCCGATTAATCGAACTCAATAATCGGCTAACTAATCGATTTTGAAAATAATCAGAAATACAGATACATGTTCAATTTACACTTTATTATTCCGTTTTCTATCCTACCTCATAATCTTCCACGATTCCCATCCGCTTCAAAGCCATTAAACGACTGGAAAAAAACAGAAATCATAAAAATGACAAGCTCAGCAGATAAAGTGACATAGCAGGGTAGGAAGCCTTGGCACTCCAGCTGTTGTGCAACTACAAGCCCCATAAGACTTTGGCAGCCACAGCTATGACTCCCAGAGACAGATGCATGATGGGATTTGTGGTTTCAGCACAGCTAGAGTGCCGAGGTTGCCTACACCTGTTATATAGAGTGCATTTTTAGAAGGACTGGCAACTGACTGAATACACAGATGCATGTAAAGTGTATATTGATATAGTTCAAGGGTCAGTCCATGCAAAACTGATACAGTTTTTAAATTTTTTGTAAATGCTGAAGGGTAAAACCCCAGAACAGATTGTTTTGTCTCTTGAAGATGTTAATGAGATCTATGAGGGGAATTTACCAAAACTAGAGCAGACAGAATCTGGAGCAGTTTTTATGGCCACCAATCAGCTTCTCTCTTCAGTTTGGTCAGTCAAGGTTTGAAAATGTAAAACATTTAAAAAAAAATAACTCACCCACCTGGCTGCTATACCGGTCCCTGCAGCCTCTTCTTCCCCGGGCCCCGGTAGCATTTGAGTCCACAAAACATTGATACAACAATCAGTGGATCGCAGGTGCAATGCTCTGGCTCCTGCAGACTCGTCATTGTCCTACCAGTCCTTGTCCGAACCTCAGTATGGACTTTCATTTATGGGACTAGAGGAAGCATGAATGGACTACAAATGTGAGAAGGTAGTTAAGACACAGCTGAAGGGCAGAAGTGCCCACCCCTGCTGTGAATGGATGATGCAGCTGTGTGAGCAGACACACATACAGCTGTGCTGAATTAAGAAAATGGCAGCAGCCTGCAGGGAGAACCCCACAATCCAGGTAAGTGAGGGGCAGGATGGATGTGGGGTGTTGGCTGATGTGACCTTGTTTCATGTTACAATCTGTATATGGATTTAACAAGAAGCATGGTCAGAAGTCTGGAGTTATTACTTAAAGAAGGACTCCAGGCAAAACTACCCCTGCACCGCAAGCGTTAAGTGATCATTCTTGTCTAGGTGCTAAAACCCCCCCCCCCCCAAAGTTATGTTCATCCGATCCATGGTGCCAGCCAGCTGGTACAAGCCTTCCACCAGGTTGTCTCTTCCTACAGTGCGCCAATCGTATGTTCCTCGGCATTCTCACATCCTATACAGTGTATGGGACATGATGACTCAAGGATTCTTAGAGCACTAGAACAGAGGGGGAGAGGCTGGATGGACCAGTCTAAGAACTGGCTCAGAGTATCAGGCGAGTATAACTTTTTTTTTATTTTAGCACCTAGACAAAAATTAAAGTGACATTAAACCCTCAGATTTTTTAACATAAACCAATACTGTAATGTGTGCCTTACTGTAATCCATGGTTGTTTCCCTTCTCTTTGCTGCTCTTCCTTTTAAATCCTCATGTCTTCTCATGCTGGGGGAGAACTTCCCTTTGCAGCTGAGTGCCTCTTCCTGTAGTGCTGGCTCAGGTTGCGAACCTACACACAGACACCATGTATCCATTCTAGAGACAAGGCAGTCTGCTGCAAAACAGAAGTTCTGCCCAGCATGAGAAGAGATACGGATTTAAAAGGAAGAGCAGCAAAGAGAAGGGAAACAACCATGGCTTACAGTAAGGCACACATTACACTATTGTTTTATGTTAAAAAATCTGAGGGTTTAATGTCACTTTAACACTTAACTCTTGCAGTGCTGGGGGTAGCCCCACTGCAAGGGTTAATAGTTTTGCTCAGAGTTCTTCTTTAAATGGGAGATCAAGTCACCATTGCTCAAGTAATCCCTATCAACCTCAGAAGGAACCCTGGTAGAACATAGCAACCAGTACTGTACAGTTCACTAACTACATGTTGTCCCTGGATGTCAGGGTGATTGGTTGATCATATAATGATGACATTGGTCCCTGGATGTCAGGTTGATTGGTTGATCATATATTGATGACGGGCTCCCTGGATATCAGGGTGATCGGTTGATCATATGATGATGACAGGGGTCCCTGGATATCAGGGTGATCAGTTGATCATATAATGATGACAGGGGTCCCTGGATATCAGGGTGATCGGTTGATCATATAATGATGACAGGGGTCCCTGGATATTTGAGTGATCGGTTGATCATATAATGATGACAGGGGTCCCTGGATATCAGGGTGATCGGTTGATCATATAATAATGACAGGGGTCCCTGGGTATCAGGGTGATCGGTTGATCATATAATAATGACAGGGGTCCCTGGGTATCAGGGTGACATGCCATGGCTGTGTATGTACATGCATTGTCACACAGTCCATATGGTCCACATATGATGTACCTGTACGGATTGGAGTCCACCACCTCTGAGCTCATCTTGTCGATCTTGTCCCTGTGTGTGTCATGTCTGCTTTGTACCCGGCTCAGCTCTTCTTCCAGCTCTCTGATCCTGGCTTGTAGCTCCTTTACCTGGCTGCCAGAAGCCATCACTGATCGCAGCTCCTCCGCACACCAACTACTGGCACACCCAAGTGACTTAGTGAGAGAGAGTGATCCCTGGGACAAGCTGCAGACCTGCCAGCCCTGGGATCTGTAGTCTACTACACGTGAGATTGCTGGGATCTGTAATCCACTACAGTGACAGGTGATACACTGATGCTGTGTACCAGACTCCAGCTGCTTCCTAAAGACACGTCTGCATCCAGGAAGAGGAATGCCGGGGTCTGCGCACAACTCCTCTGTCTGCTGCACCAGTCACAATGTTCTCCTGAGATACTTCCTGTCTGTTGCACTATCAACACTAGTCATTGATCTATATGACCACGGCGACTTAATTCAACTTCTACAATTACAGTTAACAACAAAACTATTAATAGGTATTTTTACGAATGATTATAATTAAGGGCATCTTCCAGCTTCCAATATGGCTGCCGAAGCTTCCTCCCACTACAAGCTTTGCACTATAGCATCAGAGCTGCCTTATTTGCGTGCAACCTTTTTTTTCCAACAAGCTTTATTGACAGCCGAAGTTAGAAATGTGTCAAAGGTAGAGAATTGCAATAACAGTAATCCGAAGAGGACTTTAGCCTGAGCTTTGCTGCTGAGTAAAATGGCGAACCTGGAGGCAGACACCAGTGCAGTGAGAGGAAAACACAAGTTTGATGAGCAGAGACTGGAAGGTTACCTGAGCACCCACCTGCCAGTCTTCAGCTCCAGTCCAGCTGCACCGTTCATTGTCAGGCAGTACAGGTAAGGAGGAGGTGGGGTGACTTGGTCTGCTTTTTGTACTCCAGGATTGCACTGACAGCTCTGTCACAGTATTGGCAAACCATTCCTGTAATATGTTCTGTCTGGTATCATACCACTGGTGGAGTATGGCAGAACTACAGACAACTCTGGGCAAGTTGTTTGCTGTGGCAGAGCTTAGCTGCAGCACTTGGAAAAGCAGGCAGGTAAATAATTGGATGAGAAGAGTCATGAACTGCCAACAGGAGCTTCTAATGTAATGGAACATGGGGAAAGTATGACCAGTATAAAGAACCAGCCAGTCCAATGATAGTAAATTCTATAGAATAGGTGCAGTGGGGACAAACTCTATTTATAAAGGGAGGTTACAGATCATCAGAATGCATTATTTCACCCCTCCCTCTCCACCTTCACACTATGTTCTCCAGTAACTGTTTATCCCTTACATTCTGCTCTCCAGCAATTCTTGATCCCTCACAATGCCCTCCAGCAACTCCTCCCCCAGGTGCATTTTGTTCTCCATCAACTCTTCATCCCCCACATTTTGTTCCCCAGCAATTCTTTATCCCCCACATTCTGTTCCCCAGCAACTCTTCATCCCCTCACATTCTATTCTCCAGCAACTTTTCATCTCCCACATTCCGTTGTGCAACAAACCTTAATTTTCCAACATTCTTCCTCACTCAGTCCTTCAATTACTATTCATCCCCCACACTCTGTCCTCTAATAACTCTTCATCTCCCCACAACAACTCTTCATTCGCCAGGATCTATCCTCCAACACGTCTTCCTCCCCGCACTCTGTCCTCCAATAACTCTTCATCTCCCCACAACAACTCTTCATTCGCCAGGATCTATCCTCCAACATATCTTCCTCCCCGCACTCTCTCCTCCGATAATTCTTCATTTCCCCACATTCTGGCCTAGAAAAACTCTTCATTCGCCAGGCTCTTCATCTCCCACACTGTCACCCAAAAACTCTTAATCCTGATAATTTGTGTCCCACTTTTTTTCTCTACATTCTGTCCACCAGCAACTATTTATAACCCACACACTGCTCCCCAACAACTCCTGTCCCAAACACTAAATTCACCCAACACTTTGTCACCTATACACCATTCCTCAACTTTTCTTTATCCACCAAAATGTGTCTACTAGCAATTCTTCATACTTCACGTTCTGCCTATCGGCAACCCATCATCCCCCATACTCTGTTCCTACACAACTTGTCATGCCCCACTCTCCTGACCCCAACAACTTTGCATCCCCATTCTGTCCACCGGCATTGCTTTTCTCCCCACTCACTGTCCATTTTTTAGTTAGCTTAAACAACTAGGTCAGAGCCAGGCTCTGTGTGCCCTAGGGAGGTAAGGTGTGAGTTAGTCAATTCACACATTCATAGATCATAAATGAAGATCTGTTAAGAATCTCAAAGTTCACTTTGGACATATTGTGTGAGGAAATTACTGAGCTGCAAAGAGTACGTTAGCGGTAGATCCACGTTCAATCACTAAATATTCATATAAGCTTTAACATGTTTTGTAATGAAAATGTATATCAATCTCTTTTGCCAAGAACCTTTCCCTCTCTCTCCTAGCAATTTTTATATTTTCTGTGTACATTGTAGGCTGCATGTGCCATGCAGTGTACACTTTTGGGAAATGCCAGGTATGGGCTAGGTCAGTGATGGCGAACCTTGGCACTCCAGCTGTTTTGGAACTACAAGTCCCATGAGGCATTGCAAGGCTCTGACAGCCACATACATAACTCCCAGAGGCAGATGCATCTTGGGATTTGTAGTTTTGGCACAGCTGGAGTGCCAAGGTTCGCCACCACTGGGCTAGGTTCAAGTCATGATGCAAATCTTGTGCACATGTGCAAAAGTTACCTCATCGGGGCACTGCTCTGAGGGTTCAGCGAAGGTCCTCCAACCCACGGAGACAGCTGTCTTTTTATTTTTTCTCCCCACTCCCTTAGGGGATGCATCTCCATCCAGCTCTTAGCAGCCTGGGACGCTCTGGCCAGCGTCCTGCCTAGCTCCTGGAAACCAGTGACATCACTGGTTGCCTAGAGCTGGCTGAGACACTGGCCAGAGTGTCCCAGGTTGCTAAGAGCTAGGCAGGGAGATGTGTAAGGGCTATACACATCTTGCCGCCCGGCTTTTAGGCCTTGTTCACACCAAGCGCATTCCAGGAGCAGAGCACTTGCAGACCGGATCAAAACTGCATCCAATGTATGCCAGTGGTATTTTGGGCTCTAGTTCACACCGCAGCGTTCAGTTCCAGAGCATGTAAAAAAAACTGCAGCAAGCCCTATTTTACCTGCTCTGGAACGCATGCAAACGCATCAAAAACGCATGCACACACCCTGCACACACGCACGCACTGAAAGCCCATTCTAAACTAAAAATAAATTATAATTTTTTAACCCAAAACGGCCCGGAATGCATAAAAACACGGCAAGAAACGCAGTATAACACACTGCACTGAGTGTGCAGAAACTCGTGCAGCTCTGGTCTGCATTTGGTGTGAACAAGCCCTTAGCAAGCAGAGCAGGCAGGGCGACGTGTATGTGGGCAGGACACCAGCCAGAGCATCCCAGGTTGCCAGACAAGAAGCTGTGTATGGCCCTTACATAACTCCCCGCTCAGCACAGAGCAACCTGGGATTCTCTGGCCGGCGCCCCACCAGCTCCTGGCAACCAGTGACGCCAGGGGCGCAATTTGTTGTAGATATGCTTCTGAAGCCATATACATGCTTCTGTTCTCCTAATCACTAGTATCTTTTACCGGAAATTAACCTAACCTCCTAGTAGGCAGTTTTGTCCATATATCCGGTGTCATGAATTGAAAATTACAAACTATCATTTTGTTCTATAGATCAGGCCAGTCCAACCCCACATTTTTCCTACAGAAGGGTCCAAATAAGTTTGTTCTTCGAAAGAAACCTCACGGCCCACTTCTGCCAGGAGCTCATCGGGTAAGGTTGAGTTTGTAGATGTTGGAGCACCATTATTATAACTTGTTTTCTCAAAATGATGGTAGACTTGCCTTTTAATTCTAATTTATGCTAAGCATTGTAATAGGAATACATACTAGAGTTGTTATTGATAATACAACCAAAGCATACTTGAAAAAATCCCTTTATATGTAATGAGTGCTGCCTTAGGCCTGGTTCACACCTGTACGTTTTGTAGCGCGTTCAACGCTCTACAAAACGCTCAAACATGAAAATCCCATTGTTTTCTATGGGTATGGTTCACACCTTGCCGTATTTCAGCCCGTCTGAACGCACTACAAAATGGCATACGCCTGAAAAGGTACATGAGCTTCTTTGCGGCGCTTTTGCCGCGCGTTTCCATTGGGATACAGCCAAGTAGCCCTCGGAAACGCGCGTTTGGCACGCGTTTTTTTTTACCGCGAATTGTGGTAAAAACGCGCGTCACGAAACGCATATTCGATACGCCTAGATGTGAACAGAGCCTTAAAGTGCACCTCTAGGAGAAACACTTTTTGAAGTTTTGGACAGGTTTATTGCTGTGTCCCCATTGAGGAAAGTCACTCCTTTACTTGTACTGGTGTCTATTGTCACCACGCAAGAAAGTGAGGGAAAATCCAAAATTATATAGTTGTCCCCAGAACAAGAGGTAAAGGAAAATCTTCCAATGAGGACTGTTCAGAGTACAACAGTCTAAGAAGGGAATCCCCTTACTTTGGGAAATTCCCTATTGTATCTCTGGGACAAGAAGTAAAGGTAAATGTGCCTAATGGCACACAGACAGCAGAAAAAATAGAGGTACAAAAAAACATTCAGGAGTTTTAAGCCTTCCCTCCTCTATGCAAAACTAAAAAAGTGTGGAGAGTCGCTATTTTGCAGAGAACATCTAGAAATGTTAACTGTGCTGAAAATACAGGTGTACTTCTTAGTATGTGAGGGTGCCTGGGCGTTCCTGTGCCTACAGTCTCATAGCTTTATATCTGCATTATGAGATCTAAGGTACTGCTGCTTCTGTTTGCCAGTCTCAGGAGATTTGGGGTAAGATTTGGTGTTGTCACTACTGTGCCACTCACTGTTCTCCTTGCTGGAGCCTCTGGCATGAGGAAGCAAAGCCATTCCCCTACCAAGATGGCCACCTCCACATAGAGACACAGTGCAGAACAAGGCTTAGTAAGTCTATAATGGCGGAAAAGATCAGCAGCAGGAAAAACACAGGCAATACTGGTGACTAGTCCTAGCCCTCTGTCTGCCTTTTTTTTGGCACAGCTTTCAGAGTGCAGTTCCTCTTTCCTTTTGTATTTTGTCATTGTCCTTCTATAAATAATGGTGTTAATTATTCTGCATAAAACTAAGAATAGCATTTTAATTTTTTTAGATTGAGCGGGAATATGAAGTACAGAAAGTGTTATTTGCAACTGGATTCCCAGTACCACAGGCTTTATTCTACTGCAATGATGTGATGGTGATTGGAACGGAATTCTATGTGATGGCGCATGTGGAGGTCAGCCATGTCACACAAGTATTAGAATATGTTGCAGTGCCTGGTTTCGCTGCTATTTACGTGTGGATCTGTGTTTTTGTTCTATTACTACATTTATTGCAGCTTTTCAAAATTAGTGTTGCTTTCCCTTTTACAGGGTCGTATTTTCCGAGATGTCACTCTCGCAGATGTCCTCCCCGCAGAGAGATCTGCGCTGTATATTGCACTCGCTGAAACACTCTCCAGGCTCCATTCATTCAACATACACAAGCTAAATCTTACAGGGTATGGCAAAGGAAAAGGATACTGCCAGAGACAGGTGAGGGGAGCTTTGTATGTATATTTACACTATAAGATCCCCTTCATGCTAATGCTCACACGCTTATGTGTTATATAACTATTACCATACCTGAAAGAAGATATGAATGCACTGTGCGTTGAGGTACGCTATCCAAAAACCATGCAGGTATGTTGTTTCCTACATTCAGGCTTTTGAAAAAAATGCATAGCTGTGAATGGGGCATTAAAGTGGAGAATGCAGTTTACATCACTGCAATCTTCTTGGGATGTGTGACATGCATATCCCAGGAGGTTGGAGGGGGTAGGCCTGCAGCTGGAGGATGAAAGAGCTGGATTCTCTGGGCATGCGAGTTAGGGTCCCCACACACCTTACGATTATCGTACGATAATCGCGGGAAATCCCGCGATCGTACGATGATCGTAAGGTGTGTGGAAGCCATGCGACCTCTACTACTGTAAGGTCGCACGACTTTAAACTTATGGACATGTTTGAAAACCCGCCGAGCATCGTACGATGTTCGGCGGGTTTGTGGCATGTCCGTACGATAACAGCCGCACGTGCCGGTGTGCGCAAGCGCACACTGCCCGTTCGGCATTGCAGTCATCGGAAGCCCGCCCCTCAGGGGGCGTGGCTTGCGATCATCGCAAGTACGATCTGCCTATGCAACATAGGCAGATCGTACGTTTTTTTAAGTACCTTACAACCATCGCAAGACAGAAATCTTGCGATGGTTGTAAGGTGTGTGCCCAGCCTTAAGTTTATTGTGGATAACCCCAGAGAAAAAAACACATAGGTGTGAAGTTCCTCTTTAAATGTTTTAGATAAATGTTATTATTTTTGTTAAGTTTGCAAGTTTTCCAATGGATTTTTTATATGAATTTGTGGTCTCCAAATACATTTTTATTACAGACTGCACTTAGAACACTGGTTTTGCAGAGCATTATGATTTTTCTTAAAAAAACACAACACGGCAGTAGCTTTTCATTTAAGACTGTCTCTCTCTATAATTTAAACTCTGTATTTAGCTGTACTAAGCAGGGAGAGAGTAGGAATCATTTCATTCACCTATACAGCAGTGCCTGTCTTTACACAATATGCTTTTTTCAGCAAAGCAGTTAAAGTTAGTCAGGTGAAATGGAGTTTAAAACGCTGGCTGGAAATAGCAAATATGAATTTCTTTTCTGCAATATTTCATTCTCTAAATACAAAACTCAACAACATTAAAGGAGAACTATGGGGTTAGGACTTTTCCCCATAGTTCTCCTAAGGGTCACGGGATAACACAAAGTAGCAGGCTCCCGTGACCCAAAGCTCAGTATACCGCGAGCTACAGCTCGCGGTATACTGAGACGCCGCAGCCGGAAAGGATCCCGACATTGCAGTCGAGATCCACCCAGCTGCGGGATTGACCAGAGGCAGAGCCAGCTGTGCCCACCCCCTCCCCCGTTCGTTCCTCTAGTCAGCGCTGGAGGATCGGACAAGGGAGGGGGGTAATCCCTGCACGGAGCCGTGAGTGACAGTCACGGCTCTCTGCAGGGATAGATCGAGAAGTGAGCGAGCGACGATATGTGTTCGCTCACTTCCCAATCTACGGAGCCGACCTGTGACAGTTTCATTGTCACAGGTCGGCTCAGATTATGAGGCTGAGTGAAAATCACTCGCCTCATAATTCTCCTTTTAAGTACGGTAGGTTGAGCCAAGCTCTTTAATCAAAAAAAATGACACCATGTCATCAGGATGAACTAGGCTGCTGATAGGATATGCCTTCCCAACTTCCAGTGACCGCCTGCTGTCACTGGACTCTGGAATAAGGTGATTATTGATGTGTGCTAGCTCCATCCTCTTACAAAAAAATAAATTCTTCAAATGGGGAAGAAGAGAGACAGTTTATTTATTTTTACTGTGGCCAGAGTTAGGTTTTAACAATAGTGGATACAGCATTTCTTTTTTACTTTCCTGTTATTGTATGCCTGATCTAAACATTTAGTCAATTCAGTATATTCTGATTGTATGCCCGATATAAACATTTAGTAAGCACTTCTGCCTTGCAACACTGGGGGTCCCTGGTTCAAAACCCGATCAGGACACTATCTGCAAGGAGTTTGCATGTTCTCCCTGTGCTTGTGTGGGTTTCCTCTGGGTACTCCAGTTTCCTCTCACACACCAAAGACATGCTGGAAGGTTAATTGGCTCCTGTTTAAATTGGCCCTCCTATGTATGCATGTGAGGTATGGACCTTAGATTCTAAAGCATTGTTTAAATTGTCGGCGCTATATAAATATCTATAATCATAATGTTCTGATCGTATGCTTGACCTAAAAATAGAGTAAATGCACTATTCTCAGAGCTGGATATAATGGCAATGTATATCGCCCTAGCTTACTTTCTGTAAATCCATATACAGGTAACCACCTGGAAGAAGCAGTATGACCGAGCTGCACACACTGATATTCCAGCTATGAACCAGTTGGCTGACTGGCTTATTAATAATTTGCCAAGCGATGACAATGAAGAGTGCCTTATCCACGGTGATTTCAGGATTGACAATATCATATTCCATCCCACTGAGGTAAATGCTTTTGTTAAACAAGCAAAAGATAATTTAGTTATGGATCTGAGTATGAAAAAACATGCACAATATGTGTATAAATAAAGATCTCAACCTCTTATCCCAATGGCATGACATTCCACCCATCATTACTTGTAGTAAATGGAGCCCTTTACAGGAGCATTACAAGGTAGTACACGAGTTGCAGTGTGTTCTTTTTTTAGAACTGTAGGCTTGTATGTTAATGCGCGTGCATTGCCCTGTGCAAAAATACTATATTTTTTCCCAACAAAACTGCATTGGTGTAAACGGAAACAATAATGAAAATGGGCAATTTGCCTTGTGCTTACATTGGGAAATGTAGCCCGATGCTGTTGGTGTAAACAAGCGTTTTGCTGGCCATATAGAGCTCGAATTTTGACTGCGCATCACCCAGCTTGACAAACTTCCATTACGAAGACAAAGAAGCTGGGTGGAAAATTGTTGGCTGAAGAGTCAACAGCCCCCTCCCCTGTCTATTCCTCCACTCAGCGCTGGAGGATCGGACAGGGGAGGGGGGAATCCCTGCGGGGAGCTGACAGTCACCGCTCTCTGCAGGGAGATGATCGGAAAGTGAGCGAGCGACGGTATGTGTTTGCGCACTTCCCGATCAATAGAGCCGACGCGTGACCGCTTCTTTGTCATAGGTCGGCTCTAACTATGAGGATGAGTGGAAATCACTCACCTCATAGTTCCCCTTTGATGCTGTGTGGATCCTTTTTATTGTGTTTTAAATGTTGATTAGTAAAAACCTATACACCTAAAACAGGAAAACATGTTCTGATCCCTTGTTACTCTTCTAAGATATTGTTTTTTTGCTCTGTGTGTTCATTTTCCTTCACTTCCTGTCCCAAGTGGCACCAATCACCAAAACAGGAAGCAAGGAGAATGCTCCTGCAATGGGGACACAGACGGCTGTAAAATACCAACTCATCCCCATTTTATCCAAAACAATATAAAAAGATTTGTGTAGAATTTTTACTTTATATATTACTGTGAATTAAAGCAGTTGTAAATTCCAGGAAAAACTACTTTTTTTTTCTTACATTCATTTTCATCTGCAGTTTTTTCATGCTTTATTAGGTTGTGTCATGATATATTCCTTGCAGTGGATATATGTGTAAAGAGATAAATAGATATTTTGACATAGCTGAAAATAAGAAACACAGGAAAAGGTTACACATGTTCAGCTGTGTTAAAACAGAACTCCGGGCAAATCAAATCTTAACCATGACAGTAGGGCTGCACCCACATTACAAGGGTTAAGTGTTTGTTTTGTCTAGAGCAGTGGTTCTCAACCTGTGTAACCTCAGGACCCACATTTGTCCTTGGTCATTAGGTCACGACCCAAGTCGCACTGCAATAGAACACACGATATTGTGGCACATTCCGGTGCGGGCGATTGAACTGTGGGCAGGAGGTGCGTTTGGGGTGCCATTTCAAATGAATGGCAATGCACCACCCGCACCAGAACATGTAGAAGGTGTGATTGCGTGGTACAGTGCATTAACCACTTGCCGTCCGCCCGTTGTAAAAAAATGGACGGACGGCACTGCAGCATTGGTGAGTTGCATTTTTTTTCTGCTCGCGCGCGCCCCCTAGCGGGCGCGCACGGGCAGAATAGACCCGACCAACGCAAACACCCGCTACCGGGTGTTTCACATATCGCCGATCGTCTATACGTGCCCGTTTTTTATAACACCGCGGATGTCAACTGGTTAATTGCACTGTAATAGTGTGAACGGCGGCCCTCAAAAACAGTGACAGACACACACAATCTCACATACACACTCCAAATAAAAAAAAAAAAAAAAAATCTAGATGCACCCAGTTTCCCTCCCTTATGAGTACTGGATCCTCAGCCTGGGGTCCAGTGTGGGCTATGGTGTGACAGAGCTCCATCCATATGTGCATTGCTTGTAGAACTCCCTTGCACACCCTGTAGAGGTGCCAGGAGCCAGGATGTGACATCACTCCATTCTAGGCACCTCTACAGGGCACGCGAGGAAGCTGTAAGCAATGCATGTATGGGGGGAGCTCCTTCGCGGCCATAGCTCCAGCCCACCCCACCTCAAGATGACACTCGGCACCGGGCAGCATATTTTGAATGGCTGCTTGACGCAAGAACTGACACTGCTGAGCTAGGGGGAAGCTGAGAAGCCTCTCACCTAGAAAAGTGGAAGACACGTGGTGACCCACTGAACATGGGGTCGCGACCCACTTTTGGGTCACGACCCACCAGTTGAGAACCAAGGGTCTAGAAAACTACAATAACTAAGTTATACTCACCCGAACCGTTATCCTGGCTGGCTCCTATAGCACTCCCTGCAGATTCTCTCTTCCGCCACTCCAGTGATGGTTTGTCCTTTGGAGTCCTCACATTCCATACACTGTATAAAATGCGATGACTCACAGGACCTTCGACCGCTGCAGTAGATGGGGAGCGAGGCTCCAAGGACTATGGTTCGGGTGAGTATATTTTTGTTTTTTTAATTTTCAGCTCCCTAGACAAAACGAGCACTTAGTGCAGGGGTAGCCCCACTGCAAGGTTAAGGTTTCATTTGCCTGGAGTTCTGCTTTAAATAAAACTGAGTAAATCGTGCAAATAAGGAAATTGTACAGACTGCACACGATACCAATTATGTTCTTCTAACATGTTTTCTTGATATTTATAAGGTATCTTTCTTGTCTTTTAGGCTCGAGTGATTGCCGTCCTGGATTGGGAGCTGTCTACTGTTGGACATCCTATGTCAGACTTGGCTTACTTTGTTGGACCATGTTTTTGGCCTCGAGAAGTACGCTTATTTGGTCATGTTAGTGACAAATCCTTTACTGATATTGAAGGTAAGATTTAAAGTGGACCTGTACGGAGAGTAATATGAGGGGTACCTCCTTTTGAAAATGCTAGTTGCCTGTAGTGCCATTACTTTAAATCATAGACCTGAAAGAAGCTCACAACAGGAAAAGTCAGAAGTGCTGGTCTGCATAGCTTCCAGGGCAGCAACACAGCAACTGTTTAAATCAGAACTCCGGGAACATTTTTGATTAACCCTTGCAGTATGGCGACCTTCACACTGCAAGAGTTAAGTGCTTCTTTTGGTCTAGGGAGGAAAATAACAAAGTTATGCTCTCCCAATCCTCAGGGCTGGCGGTCGCCTTGATCCCTTAAACCTGTCTCTTCCTCCATTGCTGCAATAGTATGCCCCATCCTATACACTGTGTATAGAACGTGATGACTCAGGGACCTTAGACCGCTGCAGTATAGCCCCACACCGCTGCACAAACTGTTGAAGCTGTGTAAATCCTGAATAAAATAATAATAATAAAAGTAGTCTGTAGATATGAGGGAGTGAATAGTAAAAGTTCCACGTGGTGTAACAGCTTACAACTATCATTTTCTTAGCATTAAGAATCACAGTAGTGTCAAGTGTTATGTTATACTGCCAAGGAGAGGATTAGAAAGAAGCCAGATGTGAGATTCATTGTTCTTAAATTGGTGGGAAATTACACATACTGTAAAATCTGTGCGGCTTTTACTTCATTCCATTGTGTTCTGTATTACTTTTGGGAAAACTGTAGTCCATTTTCTGTCATACAATCCACTGTGTTTTTTTAAAAGAACAAATAGAGTGCATGGTAAAGACAGAAATCTGATTTGTTGCCATGAACATGACTAAAATAAAAGGATTTTCCTACTCACCCTAAAGCTATTCACCTTGTGACATTGCATGTACATGTGTTGTGTGTAAATGGACGCAACGCATGTTATTGGCATATTTTCTTTCCAGATGGAATGTAATAACAGGTAATACATATTATAGCCACTAGATGGAGATGAGGAGTATATGAAGTAGGTGTTTATTTCCTTTGCTCCTCAGCTTCATTTGGCTATAATGCAGTATTTTCCTGATATTACATTTAACCTGGAAAGACAATATATCATTAACATTTGTTTTGTTCCTCCATTCCCACAAAACAGATGTACATGCAACTTCACGGGTCGAATGGCTCTGCAGATGGATTATTATAAAAACACCCATATGTGTCCCCCAATGAACTAATGGAGAAAATAATTTTATGGTGAGTACAAACAATCCATTTCCCATATCTGTTAACCTATGTGGAGCTGCACAAGTCATTTATTTATATTGTTCACGCCATGTTTAGATTTGTGAATTGATGTGCCTTGTTACCAGAGATTGCTCCATGATGATCAGGTAAGGGGACCTGATGACAGAAATGTTTAAAGTCAATTAAAGAAAAACTCCGGGCAAAACTTTTATTAACCCTTGCAGTGGAGCTACCCCCGCACTGCAAGGGTTTATGTGCTCATTTTTGTCTAGATGCTAAAAAAAGTTATTCTCACCCAAAGTGCTGAACCGGTTCCCTGCTTCACTGCAGCCTTGGAATGTCCTCACATGCTACACAATGTGTATAGAACGTGATGATTTAGGGACCTTAGATCACTGCAGTAGAGGGGAAGAAAGGCTGCAAGGACCTGTCTTAAGAACAAGCCAGGTCTGAGGTTCAGGTGGGTATAACTTTTTGTTGCACTTAGACAAAAATTAGCAGTTAACCATTGTAGTCCATGGGTAGCCCCACTGCAAGGGTTAATAGAAGTTTTGGCCGGAGTTCTTCTACCTGGTAGAATTTTGTACAAACCTTCAAACAAAAAATCTCATCAGATCATTCAATAATACCATCAGACACTACGCGAATGTCGTTCAAAATGTCATTCGATTTTAACATTCACAGAGTAATTCACTGAAGGGTGAAGAGTTTGGAGAAGGCAGGAGAAGTGAACAATCTAGGACAACATAGCTGAACTCTAAAGTGAGCTGAATTGGGGAATTTTTCCAAATCGGCTACTTTGGCCTAGATTGTTCACGTCTCCTGTCTTCTCCAAACTCTTCACCTTTTTGTGAAATTTCTATACTCCTCCTCGCCATCTAGTGGTGAAAGTGCCATGCGAAGGCCTCTACTCCACTGTACGCTTGGTGGAACATTTATAAGTCAGCCCCATAGTTGTAACATGAGTTCTTGTATGAAACTGAAAAGAGCGTGAGCTGTAATCCTGAACAGCTTCCTGTTTTCTTTATTTGTTAGGAATGCCAGCCTGTGAGGATTTGATGAGCATTTATAGCCGGTGTCGTGGTGTGGATTCACCAGTGCAGGACTGGAATTTTTTTCTTGCCCTTACGTTCTTTAAGCTTGCTGGAATATTACAGGTAACAGAGATCAGAGATTTTATGTGTACCTAAATGTAGGAACTTTCTCAAAGAGTAAAACTGAGTCACTGCAGCAGGGGCGTCCCGAGGCCGGGCGTCACCCGGTCTGGAGACTGGGTGACACTCTGCCATGCCGTCATCGTGCATGCGCACCCATCTGTTTGACGCCTGCCGGCGGCCAGATGACCGCCGGCAGAGAGGGGAGGGGACATTCACCTGTCGGGATGAGGTATGCCTCCTCTCTCCTGACACTGTCGGGCTCTCGGTCCACGACCGAGTGCCAGACTTTTTAGAGGGGGTGACACCAAAATGACTGCAATGACTTACTCCTGCCATGGTCGCAATGGCCGCACTCCCCGCACCCACCTTGTGACGCCACTGCACTGCAGGTCTGAGCTTATGTTTCTAAGCATGCAGTTATTTCTTGAATTGCTTTCGTCAGCAGAATCCAAATCTGCTTGTGATTATCATGTCATGTAGGCATAAATGATAAAAAATGTTGCCCTTTTTTCACTGTTGAAAAGGAAGCTATTGCTGTATATTGACTGACCGGGGTTAACAGAAATCATAAAATGTGCCTGTGCCTTGGTTATTATTTTGACAGGTAGAGTTTATCTAATTGTCAGAACCAGTATATCCAGAATTCTAACCAGCTGAAATGATGTGCAAATCTTGACTATTCCTCATAAATGTTATCTTGGCTTTTCCCCTCTTCCGCCTTAGCCTCCCTATTGTTATTTTCATTTGAGTGGAGACCTTGTTGGCCAATGAGGAGGTGGAAGAGACAGGTCATGTTAGGTTTTTACATAACAGATCAAGATTTTGCATAAAACTTTACCAGCCTATATCTCTGGATCTACTGTTTGCAGTTTTCACTAAAAGTTAATGCGGCTTAGCTTTTTTTTTTTTTTCTAACTCTCATAACTTTCTCACAAAAACCTGGTATTTATTTAACTGTTTTGTTATGTAGGGTATTCATGCACGCTTCCTTCTTGGGAATTCCAGTGGGGAGGATGCCAGCATATTTGCTGATATGGTTAGACCCCTGGCTGAAAATGGACTCAAATTAGCCAAGCGGTAAGATTCCTTCTTGTTTTTCTATATGGCAGAT